GTGGTTGCAGGTTGAGGCAGAGCGACGGAAGCGGGCGATGGTGCTGGAGTCGGAGGGGACACGGGAATCAGCTATCAACGTGGCTGAGGGGCAGAAGCAGGCCCAGATCCTGGCGTCGGAAGCTGAGAAGGCCGAACAAATCAACAAAGCTGCTGGTAGTGCCTTGGGCTGGAATGCGTGGGACCCAAGGGGATCTGTAGCCCTCTGCACTGAGGGGTGATGCTCCCAGGGAGAGGCCACATTGCTGTCTGGGGGCCCAGCTTCCTCAGCCATGCTGATCCTTCCCTTCTGAGGCCCTCGGGCTGAGCTCCGGCTGGTGTTGCCGCCCCACAGCCTGGGGCAGCAGGGGGGGGGTGGCAGGAGCATCGCAGTGCTGCTGTTGGGGAAGAGGCGGCTTTGCATGCGCAAGGTTGTCTTGATTTGCTCCTTGAAATGGTCTTGATTTGCTCCTCACAAGCACTCCGGTGCATTTCTGATGCCCGTTCTCCTGTGGTTCATTGCAGGAGAAGCCAATGCTGTGCTGGTCAAGGCCAGGGCCAAGGCGGAGGCGATTCAGCTCCTGGCAGCAGCTCTGGCACAGCAGGTGAGCCGCAGCTCCTGTGGGCAGCCACCACTTTGGTGCTGGCTCTGGGGGTAGAGCCGCGGCCGGGGGAGGCACCTGGCTTTCACTTGGTCACTCTTTGGCGTCTTCAGCAGCAGCGAGTGAGGAGTTTTGCTGTCTTGCGGGCTGTGACCGGCCAGGGCGGGCTGGGGACAGGGGCGCCGGTGAGCTTTTGGTTTTGGTGGTACACGACTTGCCGCTGAGCCTCGTCCCTCTCTCCCCAGCATGGCAATGCCGCCGCCTCCCTCTCTGTGGCAGAGCAGTACGTGAGCGCCTTCTCCAAGCTCGCTAAAGACTCCAACACCCTCCTGCTGCCCGCCAATGCCGGCGACGTCACCAGCATGGTCGCGCAGGTACATGTGGTTGGAGGGACCCCGTCTCTTGCCAGGGGGAGGTGAAGGCAGCAGCCCGGCAGGGCCTGGCCCTCTCCTCTCCTCCTCCATGGCTCTCTTGTCCCCCCCCAGGCCCTGGGCATCTACGCCACGCTGACCAAGCCACCAGCTGTGAAGACCCAGGATGAGATGCCCCCTGTCCATGAGGACCCCCAGCCTCCCGCCACCGAGGTGCTTGAGGCAGAGCAGGCCAGCTCCAGCTAGCGGGGCCGGAGGGGTCCTGCGCCCTCCCTCGGGGCCTGCCGGGCTGCCGGCAGTCCTGCCCTGCCGCCCTCCCCGCTCAGACGCTGCTCTTCTTCCCTTGGTCCTTATTTTGTATTTGGATTTAAATCATGTAATAAATGGTACCGGTGCTGCTGCAGCGCGTCCCCCCGGGCGCTCGGGAGCCCACCCGTGACCCCACCATCTGCTGCTGAGGGAGGACCGTCCCTCTTAAGTGGGCTCTTGCCAGGAGCTCCCACGGACACGCGGTGATCCTCAGGAGGAGCTGGGGGACCCCTCTCCCGGGGGGGACACCCCTCTCCTGGGACCTGGGCTCCTGTCATCGTCCCTTCGCTCTCCCGGTAGCTGCCCCGGGGGGGCGGCTTCTCTATAGCGCGCTCCTCACAGTGGGCGCGCCGCAGGGAGGGGAACGCCTCTGGAGATTAATAAATGAGTTAATTAAAGCGATGTCTCGGTCGAGCGGGAGGTGCTCGGGGGAGCGCGGCCCCGCGCCGGGGGGGCGCCCAGCGGCTCC